CAGGCTTTTCCAATATTTAATTTGTTAGCTGGAAAATTTACTTAAGAAATATAAACATAAAGAACAGGTGACAGTATTCAAGATTAGAACTTTCAGTAGCATGAGATAATTTATATATTTCAGATATTTATGTGATTTCTTATACAGATGTAGCAAATGAGAGATATTCCTAAATTAAAAAAAAAGAGAACAAGATAGAAGCATTTGTATGCATTTTTCTGTTTTTAATTTGAAAGGCAGAGACAGAGAGCTCTCATCCAGAGTTCTTCCTGGGGGAAGCCAGGAGTCTGGAACTCTTATCTGGGTCTTTCACAGCCAGGACTCCAGTTGGGAGTCACCAGTATGAGCTTGGTATGCTAGTTTATGCCCCAGATATCTTGAGCAGCTAGAGCTGGGCCAGGCCAAAGCCAGGAGCCAGGACTCAATCCAAGTCTCTCATGTGGGTAGCAGGGACCCAAGTACTTAAACAATCCCTCTGCTGTCTCCCATTGTGTGCATTAGCAGGAAGCCAGAATGTGGAATGGAGCTCAGAGTCCAACTCTCAGGTACTCTGATATGGGATGTGAGCATCCCTAGTGGTATCTTAATCACTATGCCAAATACCCACCCTAAAGAAATGTAGTGTTTTTGTTTTGGTATGGTTTTTTAGATTGAAAAGTAGAGAAATAGAGATCTTACATGTGCTGCTTCACTTCCCAAATGGCTATAATGGCCTGGACTAGGCCAGGATGAAGCCAGGAGCCTGGAACTCTTATCTGGGTCTTTCATAGCCAGGACTCCAACTGAGGTCACCAGCATCGGCTTAACTGACCCTGAAATGGGTTTTATTTTTTAAATTATTTATTTATTCATCTGAAAGGCAGAGAGGGAAGCTCCCATTTACTTGCTCATTACCCAAATACCTGCAGAAGCCAGCATTGTGCTGAGCTAAAGTGGGGAGGCAGAAACTCAAGCCAGGTCTCCAGTGTGGGTGGCAGGAATCCAGTTGCTTGCTTGGGTCATTACCTCTGCTTCCTTGGATCTCCATTACCAGGCAACTAAAATCAGGAGCCCAAGCCAGGAATCAAACTCAGATACTCCGGTGTGGGACACTGGTGTCTTAACTACTGGGGCCAGTGTTGCAGTGCAGCAGGTTAAGCTGCCCTATGCAATACCAGCATTCCATATGGGCAGCTGTTCAAGTCTTGACTTGCCCCACTTTTGATTCAGCTCCCTGCTAATGTTCCTAGAAAACCAGCAGAAGATGACCCAAGTCCTGGGGGCCCTACACCCATGTAGGAGATCCAGATGGAGTTCCAGGCTCCTGGCTTCAGCCTGGCTCATCCCTGATTGATAACAGCCATTTGGGGTGTGAACCAGTGGATGGAAGATTGATCTCTATGTAACTTCACCTTTCAGATAAATAAATTAATTAAAAAAAAAGTCTGTCCTCAAAAAGTTGTATCAAAATTATGTCTAAGTGCTTGCAAAAGATGTATCATTCTTGGGTGCTTTGTTAAATTAAGTTTCTAAAAAAAAAAAAAAAAAAGTGAAATTCAAGATGCAATGACTTTGAACATCCCTTGTCTTGACTGTTGAGGAACAGGATTTTTTGGTTTTGTTTTGTTTTTTTGTGCAAATTGTTGAACTCTTTATGTAGTATAGAGTTGGTCTTCTGTGTATAAAGTTAATCGAAAATGGATCTTAGTGGAGAATGGGACCGGGAATGGGAGCAGGAAGAGGAGGAGGGGTAGGAGTGTTGGGTGGGAAGAATCACTATATTCCTAAAGTTGCACTCATGAAGTGCATTAAGTTTGTATTTCTTTAAAAAAAAAAAAAAAAAAAGCTTTCTTTGGGGAGAAACAAAATAAAAATAAATAAATAAATAGGCTAACCAACCACCAGTTTAAGTATACTTAGCTTAATATAGTTTCTCTCCCTCTAAGAATCTGTTTGGCTATAAATTGACAGTACCTTTCCCTTCCTTTAAACACTGATAATTTATTTGTTTAAGTGCTAAAAAAAGAAGGCAAAACAGCCTTTGTTAACTAGAATCATTTAAAAAGAGACTCTATATGTAGTACAGAATTAATCTTCAGGTGTTCAAAAATGGTAAGTCTGAAAAAGGTGGCTAAAAAGAAATTGATACAACTGCTTGGTTTTTAGCATTGAAACCTTTGTTTCACAGGCATATATTAATTAATAATTGGTTTATAGGTAGAGAATCTATAATTCTTGTTACAATGTCATTGGATTTGGAATCAGGAAACCCAGTGTTGGGGTCTGGTTCTGGCAGGACAAGTTACTAACATCTGGGAATTTGGCTTCCTTTCCACAACATGGGAATGCTTCCCTACTGAGGAAGTGAACTCACTAGGGAGGCTTTTCATTTCCATAGTGTGTATGTCTTCAAAGAAGTCTTGTAAAACGTCTTGGAAAGTCTTGGGAATTTATATGCCTCAACACCATTTTTATTTCAATAAATTCTTACAAAAGAACCTGTCTACACTGTACTTCACAAAAGGGAATGTTCAACAGTTAGAAGTTAAGGAGATCTTAGGAATGATGTCATTTTTAAAAATATATTTATAAGCCTTTTTGGAATCTGAAAACTAGCCAAGAAGTTTTATTTTCTGGAAATGAATTCATATTCAGGTCAGATTTAATATAAATAAAGTGACTTCAATACCATTTTAAATTTGCATTAATTGCATAGTGTCAACAGCACTACTGTATGAAACAGAAGTTTTTGTTTGTATTGGGAAAAGAATTATTTTCAAGACTAAAGAAAGTCTCCAGCCATTCTAATATGAAAGTTCTCTTCCAGGGTGCACTTGTGCTCCCAGGTGTTAATGCTGAATAGAGGTCTTCTGCAAATGAGCTTAAGTTCTTTTTTTAAAATAAATGTTTTAAAAAGTTAATTTATAATACATCACATGTGGACAAAACAGAATATGTAGTTTAGGGACTATAAAAAGTTAATGAAACAATTACAATTTATACACAGGATCAATTTTTCTTTGTAGTGTCAGCTTATTTCAATATAAGCTTACTTCTAGTACTTTACTGTACCTTGCTTTAGAAATGTTTAATTTTAAGCTTTTTAAATGATGATCATGACAGATTTGCCTGGTTTTCTAAAATTATTAGGGCCCCTAGTAAGATGCATTTGTTAATTTTTATGATAGTTTAAGGTATTTTTTTAAGATTTTTCTTTTTTACTTGTCTCTTGAAAGGCATTTTAACACAAAAACTAATATTTGGACTCCCCACTGGACTGTCAGGGTTTGAATCCTGGTTTCTCAGCTTGCTAGCTAGCTCTGTGAGCTTGGGCGAGTTACTTAATTCCTGTCTCCTTTTTGTTCTCCATCTAATACCTATCTCAGCACTATTAGGATTATATGAGTTAACGTATGTGACTTCTAATATCTGTGAAGTCGGCTCTTTATTATATGCTCCAGTAAAACAGAATTGATATTTTAATCTAGAGCAGATTATCTTTTTTTTTAAAAAGATTTATTTATTTACTTGAAAGGCAGAGTTACAGAGAGAGAGAGAGAGAGAGAGAGAGGTCTTCCATCCATTGGTTCACTCCCCATTTGGTCACAGTGGCCGGAGCTGCGCTGATCCGAAGCTAGGAGCCAGGAGCTTCTTCCAGGTCTCCCACGTTGGGCTGTCTTCCACTGCTTTCCTAGGCCATAGGAGAGAGCTGGATAGGAAGTGGAGCAGCCAGGACTCGAACCAGCACCCATATGGGATGCCAGCACTGCAGGCGGCAGCTTTACCCACTACACCACAGCGCAGGCCCCATAGAGCAGATTATCTTAAAGCATGACAATTTCATGTATTGCAGTGTTGCCACTACCAGGAATCTTGTTGTTTGTTTTTCATCATTCTTCCTCCTGTCACCCAGTACTTTATCCTGTAGATCTGCCCTGCACTCTCCATGTCTGCTGCTACTAAGAGTTTTATCACCCCTGGCTTGAACTACAGCAGTAGCTGCTACCTCAGTTGTCCAGTCCTCTTACGAGTATCACTGACACAGTATGTTCTAACATGGTGTCCTGCATAAAGTTGTTACCAGCTCCGTTTTGCACATGCCTCAGCACAGCAGTATACTTCTCAGAATCATGGGGAGAGCTTCATAATACATTTGGTGCAGCAGTTAAAACTTAAGCTGATTAGGGCACTCATGTACCATATTGGGGTACTTGGGTACAGTGGCCACTTCCATTCCTGGCTCTGGCTTTCTGCTAATGGAGACTGGGCGAGGGTAGGGGAGCAGGCAGTGAAGGCTCAAGGTTCCTGCTGCCTATGTGGGGGAGACCTGGATTGAGTTTCCAGTTCTCTCCTTGGCCTTGAACCCAGCCCAGCTCGTGCAGGCATTTGGGGAGTGAAATCATTGGAGCATCTTCCCCTTCTGTCTGTTTTTTAAAAATAACATATATCTGGAACTTAGTACTGAGATTCACTGAATGCTAATTGACATATTTTAAAATCTGACCGATTTTCATTTATCTAAAACTTTTCCACAGTTTTCCAATAGTTCCAAAATGTTAAAGTTAGTATGTGGTCCATAAATACGTCTCTGGGTAGGACAAACTAGAAATGAGCATAGTGGCAAGAAAAAAGGCCAGATTTGAATTAAAAATGAACATAATCAATCAGTGTTAGAATAGTGAAGTAAAAAATAATGGCACTTAATATTGGTTACCTTTCTTCAGTTAATGTGTTTTATTCATTAAAATAGTTTGAGTGTCTATACAGGACAGAATTCTTGACTATGCTTTGGAGGGGGCTACTAGTTACTGTGTCGGCGTCACTTAAAACAATTTTAAGTGATTTTAAAGGGTTGCAATTCATGGTTAACATTATGTTTAGGCTTCCTTAAGAAATGTATAGGACAACTTTGACTACATTTCCGTTGTTCTTATTTTTAACACTGGAGACTTAAAATGTAAGGTTATAAATATGTATAACTGCTTTCTTTGTCTAACAAATAAATTGTGTTTGTTGCTTAGAAAAAGCAGAGAGATCTTGCTAAGATGAGAAAATGTCTCAGACCAGAAGAACTGACAAACCAGATGAACCAAATAGAAATAAGCATGCAACATGAACAGCTGGAAGAAAGCTTTCAGGAACTAGTGGAAGATTACCGGCGTGTTATTGAACGACTTGCTCAAGAGTAAAGATTATACTACTATGTACAGGAAGCTTGCAAATTTCTGTACATTGTGCTGTGAAAAATCTGATGATGACTTTAATTTTAAAATCTAGTAACATTTACTTACATTAAAAGTTGTCTATCTTTAGTTGAATATTTTCTTTTGGAGAGATTGTATATTTTAAAATACTGTCTAGAGTTTATGAGCATATATTACATTTAAGAAAAAAGATATAGCTTCTGAAATATCACTGCAGTTGCTTACCTTCTTAAACAGTATAATAAATGCTTAGTTGTGATACGTTAATGTGTGTTAAGATTCTTAAATACTTAGGATAAACTTTGTCTTGTTCAAAATCTTAGATTTTATGCTTTTAATATCATGCCTCCCATAATTTGTTTCTGAGATTTTTATATGACACCTTTACAATACATTAAGAAAACTCATCCTAGTAATTTATTTTTCCTATATTTTTCTAAATAGGAAATGTTCCTGGTATAGGTTTGTTTTGTGTTAAATAAACTCCTGTAATGGCTTGTTGGGGGTAGGTAGGTAAGAGAGAAAAAGGAAACGAGCTACAGCCTAAAACCTAAATGTTTGATATCATATATTAACTGAAGATAATTTAGAAGTTAGCATAAACATTTTATTAATAATGAGAGGATAGCAGCTTGTAAAATTTAGTTTACCACACTTTTATTGAAATACATCCTTTATAAAATGAGATGCATGTTAGGATTTGCCATAGTTACCAAGATACTGAGTACAACAGGAAATAAAGTAATAATAAATTATAAGTTGCTTGATACGGAATCGCTAAAAGTAAAAGCTTAAAAAGTGTGTATAATGTGTGCCAATGTTATATAACAGCAAAAACAGGATTAAGTTGAGTTTTATTTTTAAAAGTCTGGTTTGTTTGATGATGAGGGCAAAATTTCAACTTGGACAAGCACTATCTTGTCCTTAGATCAAACTTTCCGTTAGTCAGACCTGCCAAAATAGAAGAATTAAAGTAACTGGCAGCCTCTGGACAAAATAGCCATGGCCTGCAGCATGATAATGACACAAGCCATCCCCTTAGAATGCAGAAGCTTAAAACTCCAGACTGCCTCATTTCAAAATTCTGTACATAGAAAAAAAGTTGTTGGTATCTGAGAGATTCTGTATATAAATGCACATAATTTGCTCCAGATTGAAAAACTAGTTCAGTAAAAACGCTTTCTGCAACTGAATGAAAGCAATTTGTTCTCCATCTGACTTAGCTAGTAAATTTTGAATTAATAATTCACAACTGATACTTTGTGGATGAGCTCTGAGGGGCTAGTGTTGTGGCATAGCAGGTTAAGCCACTACCTGTGATGCAGGCATCCCATATGGGTGCCAGTTAGAGTCCCGACTGCTCCACTTCCTATCTAGCTCCATGCTAATGTGCCTGGAAAAGCACTGGAGGATGGCCTAGCTGCTTGGGCCCCTGCACCCATGTGACTTCAACCTGGTCCAGCCACAGCTGTTCTGGCTATTTGGAAGTGACCCATAGATGGAAGATCTTTCTCTGTCTCCCCATCTCTCTAACTCCGCCTTTCAAACAAATAATAGCTCTGAAGAAAAAAGTCAATACAACTTAAACAAATACCTTTAAAGAATTTTTTTTTTTTTGCGTAGAAATACATATCAGTGGGTATCAATTTCCCTTTTGTAGCAATGTTCCTATGTTAGGTTCATAAATAAAGATCTGATTTAGCATTAACATTTGAGCCTTGAAAGGCTGTACCTTTAGAGTTAGAATTGTAAATGTCTGCTATTTAGGTCTGCATCTGCAGGTTAATTAACTTTCAGGGTAGATGTGTATAAAAACCAACACAGCTACCCTCTATGTCTTAGTGCTCACATGTCCTATCCCTTCCCATACCCCGTCTTAGCCTTCACTCATTTGTCATCCACATTTACATCTCTTTTGTTGCCACCTTTAACTTTGGCTTTCACTGCCCTTCCCTCTGTTACCTTTACTTTACTTTTTCCATCATCTATTAGTTGTATCTTCTGTACATGTAATATCATATTTCCTTCTAAGCATTTTTTTAAGATCTAGGGCAGTTATTTATTTATTTTTAAGGAATAGAAATTTCATAAATACAACTTTAGGAATATAGTTATTCTTCCCACCATACCCACACTCCCATCCCTCCTCCTCCTTCCTCTCCCCTTCTCCATTGAGATCATTTTCAATTAACTTTGTACACAGAAGACCAACTCTATACTAAGGAAAGATTTCAACAATTTGCACAGACGTGCACACAAACAACTGAGAACTAGTTTTACAGTTAACTCTCATAATACAACTCATTGAGGACAAAGGTTAGTTTTTGCACAGTGTTAGTGCACAGTGACTCCTGTTAAATTAACAACACTTTTAGGTATGATGTCAGTGACCACCCAAGGCTCTTGACATAAGCTACTTAGACTGTGGAAGCCTTTTGAATCCACAAACTCCATCAGTATTTAGATAAGGCCATAAGCAAAGTGGAAATTCTCCCTTTAGAGAAAAGTACATTCTTTGATGGCCACTTCTTTCTGCTGGGGTCTCTGTTTTGCCACAGTGTCTTGGCTTTCCATGTCTGAAATGCTGTCACAGGCTTTTAAGCTGGATCAGGAAGTCTTCAAGGCTGATTCTGAGGTCAGACGTTTACTTAAAGTGATTGTCATTCTATGAGTCTGTTGTGTGGACTGCTTCCCATATTGGAACATTCTCTCCTTTTTAATTCTATTTATTACTGTGATCAGACTCTTGCTCCTATTTATATGATCACTTTTAACACTTAATATGATCACTTTAAATGACTCTGGCTCCTTTGATACACAGCCTGTTAGCTCTGTATAGCACTGCACTCATTTTGTGTGTGTGTGAGATTCTTTGAGAACTGTATAAATGAATAAATATATAAAAAAGAAAAATATATATCACTTTAACACCTAAGATGGCATTTTTACCACCCAGCACAATGGGATTTAGAGTCCCATGACAAGTTTGTAAGCTGTACCCTTAGAGTTAAGTCCATAGGCATCAGTTTTTTTCATTTATAAAGTTGAGGCTGTACTAAATAATTTCTGGGTTCCTTCCCTCTGCTCTAAGATTTGTACTTACCTTTTTATAAAAAAGGCCTTTTCTCCGTAGCTCTATGCTTCTGTACTCAGATGTGGGCGTAGATGTGGTAACATCTAAAATAGAATATTTCTGTAAACCACACAAAGTCATCATTTATGCATGATGCAGCTTGTGTGAGAGAAAAAAGCACTGTATCCCTGACTGCCTCCAAATTAGAGGGGCCTGTTCATTACACCTGAGCCTGCTTGTTCTGAAGATTTTTCTGATCCTCTGATCCACTGTAATCCTTATTGACTAGAGAAGAACTGGCAGCACAGCCCCCAAAGCTATTTGTAAGAATGATTGCAATCATAGACCCTGAAGGTCAACTGATTTAATTGCTTAAATTCATTTTCAAATTCATTTTCTTAGTATTTAAAAGCCAGTTTAACAACATTAAATACTAAATAAGTATAGTTAATAAGTAGCTATACTTTTCCATTCTAAATGAAATTTGCATGTTTCTGCATTTAAAAAGATTTTGAGTAGATGTATTTATTTATTTTTGAAAGATTGTTACAGAGAGGGAGAGACAGATCTTCATTCACTGGTTCACTCACCAGACGGCTACAATGGCCAGTGCTGTGTCAGGCCAAAGCCAGGTGCTTTATTTGAGTTTTGACATGGATGGCAAGTGGCCCAAACACTTGGGCTATCTTCCACTGTTTTTCTCAGGCTACTAACAGGGAGCTGCATGGGAAGTGGAGCAGCCAGGACACAAACTAACACCCATATGGGATGCCAGCATTGCAGGCAGCAGCTACACCACAATGCTGGCCCTGAACATTGTGTTTTTAACAAACACTTCTAGTGTTTAAAATGTTTTTCATAGATCTACAATATTTCCTATTGATGTACCTATTTTTTTAAGAGAACAGATTTCATTTATTTCATAGATACAGTTTTGTTTTGTTTTGTTTTGTTTTTTGACAGAGTAGACAGAGACAGAAAGGTCTTCCTTTTTGCCCTTGGTTCACCCTCCAATGGCTGCCGCGGCCGGCACACTGCGGCCAGCGCACCGCGCTGATCTGAAAGCAGGAGCCAGGTGCTTCTCCTGGTCTCCCATGGGGTGCAGGGCCCAAGCACTTGGGCCATCCTCCACTGCACTCCCTGGCCACAGCAGAGAGCTGGCCTGGAAGAGGGGCAACCGGGACAGAATCCGGGGCCCCAACCGGGACAAGAACCCGGTGTGCCGGCGCTGCAAGGCGGAGGATTAGCCTATTGAGCCGCAGCGCCGGCTTGTACCTAGTTTTATATGGACCTAGTTTTTTTTCTTTTACTATTATATATATATATATATATATACACACACACACACTATAAAATGCATCCTTAGGAAATGATTTAATAGATTTTATTGTGTATAAATACATACTTATATGTAGATAACACTTAAAAATTTAGATGCATATATTTATAATATATTAAGTCATTTCCTTAGGATGAATTCCTGGGAAATGCAGTTACTGAGTCAGAGGGTAGGAATACCTCTGGCTCAGTCACATAAATGTGTTCTGTTCGGAATGGCTGGTAAAATACTACTTCATGTGAATGTATATGCTGATTTTAATAGCAGTTTAGTGGTATTGGATGTTGACTTTATTGTTGGTATAAAATCTCATTTAATATTTTCCATACTTTTTGTGAAAAACGTCTGATACAAATTATCCATTTGATTTGTTGGAAAATTTATCTGACAACATGCCCTCTGAATTTACAGCTGGACAGCAAGTTAAGTGATTTGCTGAAGATCACACTATGAGTTAGTGACAAAGCCAAGACTACACTGGAGTCCTGATTTCTACTCATCTCATTTTCCCTCAAGCAGGCCAGCCAAGACTCAGTCTTGATAGCCCCACCAGGCTCCTTCTAAGAGCAGCTTTATTCTCAGGCACCTTCTGAAAGGTGCTTCATTTGTATGACATTTGCCCTAATTACCAAGTAACCCAATTGGCCTCTTGTTCATTATCTTTAGCTGCATGTATTAAGAAATGGCTGTTGGGGATGGTGTTGTGGCCTGTGATGCCAGCATCCCATATGAGCCCCAGTTCTAGTCCCAGCTGCTCTACTTCCAATCCAGCTCCCTGCTAAAGCACCTGGGAAAACCGCAGAGGTGGCCCAAGTGCTTGAGTCTCTGCCACCCACGTGATATCTGGAAAGAGTG